CGGGGCCTTATGTGGTTCACCACTCGAAGTCCCGGGGCTTAGTTTGTCGGTTTCCACCACTGAGAAGCAGGTCATGGTGACTATGGGGTTTGCTCCGTCTGCTGTTCATCACACAGGTGTGTAATAAAAAAACGAAGATAGGGCTATCTCTGTAATCAAATGTATAACAAAATTAAATAGAAACGGAGAGAGAGCGCTACCCCGACGAACACCACTTTCCATGGTGAACTTGGGCGAAAGATTGTCGTAAGCTCCCATTCGACTTCGGCTATTAGTATAAAGAGATTGTAGGATTGAAGTAAACTTCTCAGACACACCCTTCAAAACGAGACATCGCGGAGTTTAGAGTGGTCAACTGAGTGGAACACCGCTTTCAGATCGACTAAGACAGAGCTGGTGGGTATGCAAAACAAATGCCTTGTGAGATGACTTATTTTCCGAGAAACTGCCGTTTCGGATGGAGGACTGGCAGTGGGAGCTTTTGCCCAGTAGAGGTGAGGGGTGGGGGTGGGGACCAGATGAACTGAACCTCAAACTGTTCAGCCCATCGATCAAGACGGCGTTGCTGATCGTGAATCAGTGCCATCGAATTCCTTAATTATCTCACTTACGCCTATTTACCTGAGGCTTGTATTCCTGATTAGACAGAAGCCAATTTACAACAATCGCTGAAATCGTATCTTGGGTATCCGTTGTTGGTGACATTTTGCGGTTGTTTGCCAGGCGTAAGGAGAATTGGGCTTTTAGCAAAGCGTGATCCGTATCCACGGGCGTTGGTCAGTAAGGGCGGCAGTCTTGAATCGATCCCCTCCAACGGTAACTGATGGCGATGTGATCGATTTGGGTCCAGTACCCTGAAGAAGCTGGCCGTTTTCGTGTAAGGCAGTGTCATTTCTTGTGCGAGAAGTTTGTACTTGACAGGAACAATTCGTGGTCCGCGCAGAGTTGAAGTAGGCGATCTCCGTTGTCCGTCCGGTTAGCTGGGATTGCATGTGGTCCGCCAAGAAGCCTTCGTCCAGGTGTTTCACTCGGGTATTGAGGTCTCCGGTAACTACTACGACGTCTGTTGATCAAACACTTCAGAGTAATTAAGAATGGTCCTTGTAGAATCCATCCTTGATTTCAGGTGTACTGCAATCGGTCGGTGTACACATCGATACTATGAATAAGCATCGACCCTTCATTCTGTAGCTGTTGACCCGTGCTGAACCGTTGAGACGTACAGCGCACAGTCGACTACTGACTGGATTCCAGTCAAGAAGCGAGCGCTCCGCCTTTGCACTTAGCGCAATCCCAACACCAGCAACACCGCGAGCTTCGGATGCCGAATCGCCTGACGCACAAAGGGTGAAGCACGAGGTTGATGTTGGATCAGGAAAGCGCAGTGAGATGCTTGAGGGGGAGTCTTGTATGCGTGTTTCGGAGACAGAATTCATCTGAATGGAAAGTTTCAAGGGTCCGATTACTGATCGATCAGATAGAATGTGTGAACAGCGCGGCTACGTGAAAAGGGAATTTCGGCTTGTGAAATCCTGTAACTTTTGATTGTTCGGGCCTAATGATAAAACGCTGATTGATATCTAATGGGTCTCTTAAACAGGAGGTATTTAAGATTATTCGGGAGTGAGAGGAAGAACTAGACAGATGGAAAAGAGGTTTTTCCAAATGGGTGTCTATGGCTCTAGGACGCAGCATTTAGAATTTAGGGTGGCAGCCCACACCAACGAAGAGGTTTTCTTGGGGAACCCTAACCGGAGCCTCCGACTCAAATGTCTGACCCACAAGGCAGTGGGGTGTAAATACAACGCGGGAGCGTGATTGAGGCACCCGTGCGGGAGCTTCTAGAGACTGTTACGCAAGGCCTTCGGTTTTTGGTTCAGTGTTTTGTTCGCTGGTGCGTTTATTGTCGATCCGCTGTTCGGAATTGGCTCTTTATCTGATGCACCCAGCGAGACAAACGGAACGTGGACGGGACCTTATTGGCTGAAGGCTTTCCAGCTTTGGCGGGCGGTAGCTGTCCAATGAAGTGCGAAGATTTTTCCCANGAAAGGAAGCCCCCAGGTACCCCGCTCCTACCTCCATTTAGCTGGAGTTTTTGACCGGTAAACTGCCTCTCACCGTGTGTATTTGCTGGAGTGACCTCTCCATGGTCGTGACTAGATGGTCGAAGGAAGCCAGGAGGTGCCCAAGCAGCCGTTCTTGTGAAACTGAGCTTTGTCTGGTCTGTGTAGCTTGCAGGGTCATGGAGGCACGCAAGCCATCATACCACATCAAGGTGCAGTCTGATCGTGATGTGATAAGCGGCTTACTGCCCCAGATGTCCTTTGTATTCTTTCCCCAATAATCCCCGTTTTATTGTCTTTTCGATCCGTACCATTCCCTCATGGAATTTTTTTGGCTCTGGTGAAAGGTTGATTTTTAACACACGTATTTTGTGTGATAACGGGATAGACCCTATAGTCACAAAGATCTGCTGTTCAGCGGTAGAAACCGGCAAAGTAAGCCGAACCATGTAAGGCCTTGACGATAGCAAAGTTGATTAACACCAAAGTTGGTTGGCGGTTTTGGGGTTCGAGCCTCGGACCGTAGGGTCCAAAGGACGCCGGTAACAACGACTAAACCGCTGCACTACCGCCACCGCCTTATGGAGAAGCTGTGCGATTTTGAATATCCTGAGGACTGTCTGTCTGTTCGAATGTGTGGAGGATGTGGCTGACTAAACAATTCGTTTGGTCCTTTCGGTATGCCCTTTGCTTCAAATTGCAAAGTACTGCTGCAAAATAGGTTGTTCACTGCCACTGCCCTGCAGCTTTATTGTCAAAAATCAACTCTAACTAATAGCTTCTCTTATGCAAGCAACTACTTCGGTCACGATATTATCGCACTGAAGAAGGTGACCACATATCCAAGGCTGGAACGTTGTACACTGAACTGAGCAATAAATACTTCCTGTTATCATTCATGGTAGCTAATAATTGACGGGCAAGTAATTCGTTTTCGGGCTTGAAATAGATAGATTCCCTGGTCCGTACCATCCCTTGGTAGGTGGACTTGTCGCTAATTCACTAGAGAGATCAAGTTAGCAAGAAGTATCTTGGAATCTAGATTGGGTACTTTAATCGATTGATAAAGGTGTCCTACTAGCAAACGCATTGTTCGGTTGTTGATGGAGAATGGGGATCCGCATCGAAGCATTCTGGACAAAATAATGGTTCCGTTGAATATACAAAGATTAAATTGTTTTATACTTGGTCGGTTCTGATTCGAATTAAGAGCGGTGGATTGGTCTAGTGATCGGCCCCCATCTCCTTACAATGGGAGCACAATAAGTGAAATGAATAATACAATATCGATGCCGTTCTGTATTGAATGAAACAACAATCTCTGACTAAGGGATAAATAACTGTATAGAAATCAGATATCTTCTGTCCTCCAGGGTGGGATCTGAAAGACGGTAACTGTTTCATTGGAAGCACTAAGGAGCATGACGGTGAACCGACAGCAGTGATGTTCTTGTCACCATTTGTTATAGATCCAGAGCGCTGGAATAGTTGTATGGGCATAGCTGGGCCGTATGCTCTGTGTGTTGATCATGGTGATTCCTTTTATTTTCTCCTTCAAACAGCCCCACTCCCTTGCACATTCATACCTACCTTGTATGCGCTTGTGAGCCTGATATCGATCAGCGCATTTGGCTTTACTGTATTTTTATATACTATGCTTTCAGTTAGCGCTGTCGGTTTTTTAGCTAGTATCACACGAGCCCTTAACTTTTTTATTTTCATTGATGTCAATGGAGTTGCTAAATCGTGCTTTGATCACGTTTGTTCTAACCCATTTAGCTACACCTGGTCGGCTTCTGGATCACCTGAAAAAGACCAAAGGGTTCGACGAGTTGAAGTTTGCCAATCTACGGTTCTTGGTGATTGATGAAGCAGATCGGATGCTGGGATCCGATTTCGACTCAGTGCTGGAGCGAATACTCTGTCTGCTTCCGACGGATCGACAGACGTTTTTATTCTCTGCGACCATGACGGAGAAGGTAGGTTTTTTTCATTCACTCGACTTTTTAATGTTAAATGCGCATGTTGTCCCGTGTAATTGAGGCAGATAATTCCCCAAAAATTTTCTCTAGGAAATTAAGCACACGCATTATTTCATTTCTGTCCCATCACGTTATGCTTGTTTCATTCTTTGAAACTTTTTGTTCTCTTGCAACTAACGAAAGTTTACCTACCTGCTAGTTTTAAAATATGCTATCTCAAAACGACCTGGTCGTTTTCTAAACTTTGATCGAGTTATTCCCCGGACCAATCCCACTGGATCTCTTGTTTGTGTCCCGGCCCCGCGTGTTCACGAGCGCAACTGGTGGGTTGTCTGTATTTCATGCTGTTATTTCACCAGTCGTCAACTTTTTAAACTGCAGTGTTAGGCTACTTATTTTTTATTCAGTAGCCTTTCATGGATTTCATGGATTTCTCCATTAGAACACTTGTAATCCTGATATTTCATTTAGCCGCATGTATTGTCACATCCTTTCGTTACCTAAGGTAATCGTTCCGCTTTCAATAGGGCCTTATTTCTACACCATTCATTTTATCTCGGTTCGTGAGTGTATGCAAATATTAAGCGTTAGGAGTGTTTAGTTGTTTTTTAGTACAAAATGATGTACTTCAAGAGAGATAACCCCCAAAGATGTGACGAAACATACAGGTGAAGTTGAATTTGTCGATCCTTCTGCCTTCGAGAGAAAGTTTGTAAGCGATTAAAAACACAAAAAGAGAAATATCTCAGTACCGGTATAAAGGAGACTAGCAGATAGAACTTTGACAGAAGCCTGACAAGGAAGACTGGCGTCTTGCGATCGAAATGAACGCGAAAAAGACACGGAGAAGGAAACCCTCGAACCGAGTTTTGTAGAAGCGAAACAAAATAGCAGCTGTAGAAGAGAGATGATAAAACAATTTCCCGACGATGGGAAAGCCATTGCGGATTGGATTTTAGAGAGGGGTCGGTGATCAGCTCGACTGCGTTATGTTGAACCCAGTCTTTTCGTCATCGTAATCCCATCTTCAATTGAAATAGATGTTTTTTCAATATTGTATCGCCAAATGTACCATAGATTTCATTTTGCAATGACCTCATTTGTGACGTAATAACGTAGCTGAGTACATTACCATCAGCTGTCTCGCCGTTTCCATGAGTTCCATTTTTAGTGGTATCATGCTATTCATTCACCCCCCTCCCCGCGATTGCAGGTTGGCAAATTACAACGTGCATCCATTCGTGATCCCGTTCGAGTGTCTACGAGAAAGAGTAAATTCCAAACTGTTACGAACCTTCGTCAGTATGTGCAGTTGGTTCCTCAGGTGGAACTGGACACTTATCTGGTTTATTTGCTCCGAGTGGCTTTGTGTTCCAATCTCTCTGCACCTGGACTAGACATGCTTCGCTTGCAACAGGCCAAACCGACCGCAGAAGAAACGGAATCCGAGTATGTGCTCCGAATTTTTCTTCTCATTGGTTTCAGAACAGACTGGGCTGATTTAAAATAAACAATAACAAAATAAAAATGCTAACTTGAACCCTAAATGTTGGTGCTCTATTTTGCCTAACTAATTGGACTGCCATGTTCTTTTTTGTAGGGTGAGAATTTTCATTAAGTTTCAGTGTCTTCTGCATTTAATATAAGATGTCCAGGACGGTAAGCATTATGTTTGATCTACGGTATCACTCAGTCTTAATGATAGGACCCCCATTAGTTCCTTACGAAGATACTGTATCTTAACATAGTCTAAAAGAGAATGCTCCTTTACAATCCAGTTACCTGAAGGTCAAGTTCCGCCAAGATTGTAGGTTAGCATTCAAAATTCATAGTTTCATTCTGTCTTGCAGTTTACATATTCGAATTCAGTTGACTGGCACTGTTGACGAGAAACCAATCCATTGTAGAACCACTATAGAACTTTGCATAACTACTCAAGCAACCACAAAGATAGGAATTAAAAACCTTCTTGAAGTACTCTGACCCCTCTCTTTTTGCTAAACATCTTAGCGTTCAATGTGTGCTAAAATTTTACTGCTGTCCGAATACTTTCTGAATGCGGGAAAACGTTTTGTTCTTTTTTGTACCACCCGTTTTGCATCGTGCATGTGTCACTACTAGCTAAAATTGGGTAAGGGGGCTAAAGCTGCACATAATAAAAACGAATATTAACGAAAAGTGAATGGCGATATAACGTTCATGTTCGTTTTCATAGTATTGACACTGTTTTACCTTTCAGTCATCTCAGCCAAAGTCGGCTAACCTGAAGGACTTCATCATGAGTGTTCCACAAACTGGTCTTACAGGGTAGTAGAACGGTGTTCCACGGCCCCGATTAATTAAGGGCCACTTTTCAGTCAACAGATGCAGCTCCCTCGTTCACGATGTCCAAACCATTGAACAACCTTGTGCGTCCTCGTTTCGGTTGCTGTCTTTCTGCTACCGAATAGAAGATGAGCAAGAATCAGTTTCAGGGTGAATGTAGGGAATGTAGTTATACTACATTTGCAGAGAATTCGATTCAATGTACATGCACCACTATTTACAACACGTCCATGTCACTCAGTATATCTAACCATCAAGTCGACTGATCTGGAGATGCGTAACCGGGCCTTTATGTCCAAGTTCCCTGACCAGGATTCCCATAGTTCAGTTTAGGTTTTACAACCATTAACCATGCGCTTTCGTGCACCAGTTTTGGTTTCTGTCTTTTGGTGCTCCATTTGGATAAAAGAGCAGAATGAAGATTGGAATGTTGAAAGCA